TGCTGGATTTTGTGAGTTGTTGGAAAGAGTCGTTTTTGCAAAGTAGTTGTGAACTCCCCCAGACCTGCTGCGAGCTAAGAGCTGTCTTGGACAAGTCACCAAACCTGAGGAGCTGGCGGATGACAGGACCGCCTCACGTCCGCCTTTGTCTGGAAATATGCAAGCAGGAGAAGGTTCATGCATGCGTAGCAAATGGCCTGCCTTCTCCAAGTGTGCCAGCGGGTACCACACCGCGCTGCCTCCCCCTGCAGATCCTGCCAGCTCTCCGAAGCGGGGGGGAGTCGCCTGGCTCCGCTGCGAGGAACTACTCCCGATTATCTGCTTGCTTGTGCAGAACTAACGAGGGGCTACTGTATTATTTATCACGGCTCCTTCTACAGGGAACAGCACTCGCTTCACCGCGCCCGCGGGGCTGGGGCTCCGAGCTCCCCCGGGGCACACGCACCCCTCGTCCCCTTCCTTCCCAGGGCGCGGACAACGCGGAGGAAAGGGCAGGAGGGGATTCTCTCCCGGCCCCGCCGCGGAGGTCAGAGCACCCGCGCCTCCCCCCGGCCCCGGGGTCCGGCACCCCCGCTCACCTTGATCCTCTCCACGGCCGCCTCCAGCTTTAGCTGCTCCACCAGCCGCTGCATGGTGCTCAGGCTGCCGCCCGACGACATGCCGAGCCCCAGGGGAAGACGAAGGGCGTAAGGCTGCAGAGCAGAGCAGGGCACAGCCGGGCAGAGCTGCTCCGGCGGGCTCGGCTGGGCTCCGCTCCGCTCCCTCCGCCCCGGGGAGGGGCCGCGGCCGCTCCGCCCGCAGCGCCAGCGGCACCGCCCCGACGGACACCCCCGAGCGCTGCCGCCTGCGGCGCCCTCAGCGGCACTGGGTGGGCACTGAAGGTGCTTCGGGGGACGAAAACTCGTTGGTTAAAATAGGACAGCAAGGGGAGAAAAATAAAAGCGAAGAACAGGGAACAAAACAAAAAGGGGGGGGGGAGGGAAAAAGGGAGGGGGGAAAAAGGAAAAGGGAACAAAAAAGAGTAGGGGGAAGGAAAAAAGGAAAGGGAAGACAAAGAAGAAAAATGAGGGCAAAGGAAAAAAAAGGAAGGGCAGAAAAAATGGAAAAGGGAGGGAAAAGGAGCAGGAAAAAGGTGGGGGAAAGAAGTGAGGAAAAAAAAGGAGGGCAAGAAAGAAGAGATGAAAGGGAATCCATAGGCTCAAAGAATGGTTTGGGTTGGAAGAAATCCTAAAGATCATCTAGTTTCAACCCTCCCTGCCCTGGGCAGGGATGCCACCCACTAGATCAGGTTGCTCAGAGCCCAGTCAAACTTGCCCCTTAACACTGACAGAGATGGAGTTCTAAGCATCCTCCTCTGCCCACAGGCAGCTGTATGGCTCAAGCTGCTGCCAATGTTGTTTCATCCTCACCCAAAACTGTTCATCACCATTTCACCACTGTCCATAAATAAGTCCCTTCATTTTTTGGCAGAGGTTTGCCGGCCATTAGTTTGCTGCCTTGTTGAAAAGTCAGTGGGTTGAAGCTTATAGCCTCAAATGGTTGCTCTGAACATAAAACAGGACAAACAGGGGATCAGACCCAGCCAGCATGGGTCTGTGGAAGGCAGGTCCTGCTTGACCAGCCTGATGTCCTTCTATGACAAGGTGAGCCAACTAGAGGATGAGGGAAAAGCTGCACATGTTGTCTACCTGGACTTTAGTAAAGCCTTTGACACCATCTCCCATAGCACTCTCCTGGATAAACTGGCTGCTCATTGTGTTTGTGAGTGCACTCTTCACTGGGTATAGAACTGGCTGGATGGCCAGGCCCAGAAAGTGGTGGTGAATGGAGTTAAATTCAGTAGGTGGCTGGTCATGAGTGGTGTTCCCAAGTGTGGCAATGAACTTGCCATATACAGTATGGAAAAAGTCCTGTCAGAGATGGACTAGTGAGGAAAACAGCTCAAACCTTATGGAAACAGAAGGTTTTACTGTAGTTTAAACATGTCTCAACATGTTTGTGTATTTTCTGCAGTGTCACTGTTTCCCAAACACCCCCTGTGAAGCTATTGTCTCCCATACAAGGTGTCCTGGGAAGGTGTCCCGAGGTGTCCCATTGGTCCTTTGTTTAACCCCTTCCTATTGGCTGTTGACCCCTTACCTGATGGTTTCTTTTGTGTGACCCTGAACTTCTGATTGGTCCCCTTTGACCTTCCTAAAAGCCTTATAAACCCCAACCCCACAATAAACTTTCTCTTTTGTCTGTCCCTCCCAGGTGGTCTGTGTGTGCTCCTTGTGGGGTCACTGGGCCACGTGCTGGGGTGGGGGGAAGGGCATTCACCTCGCAGGTAATGGGGCTAGAAGCATAAGGCCTGGAGGTCTCCCCCAATATCCCCAATTCGCCGTACCCAAGGGCTCAGCATTTGGGCCAGCCCTGTTTAATATCTTCACTGACTACCTGGACAAGAGGATCAAGTCCTTAGCAAGTTCATAGATAACACCAGGTTGGATGGGAGTGTTGATCTGCTGGAGGGCAAGAAGGCTCTGCAGAGTGGTCTGGACAGGCTGGATCAATGGGCTGAGGCCAATGGTATGAGATTCAACAAGACCAAGTGCTGGGTGCTGCCCTTGGGTCACAACAACCCCAGGCAGCACTACAGGCTGGGGGAAGAATGGCTGGAAAGCTGCTCAGCAGAAAAGGATCTGGCACTGCCAGTTGACAGTGGCAGAACATGAGCCAGCAGTGTGTCCATGTGGCCAAGAAGGCCAGTGGCATCCTGGCATGGATCAGAAACAAAGTGACCAGCAGGACCAAGGAAGAGATTATCTCCCTGTACTCGGCACTGATGAGGCTATGCCTCGAGTCCTGTGCCCAGTTCTGGGCCCCCTACTTCAAGGTAGACATCAAGGTGCTGGTGTTGCTGAACTTTAGGAACTCTCTAAACATGGACAAAGAGTCGGGATTAGAAAGGAGACATCGTTTATTTTGCGCGGGGTGCAAAGTGGAAGTTTTTCCACAAATCAAGCACACAAAAGCGTAAAAAGCAAGGAAATGTATACACTAAAGTTTACAAAAACCGACCTATCTAATACATACTAAACATCTACCTAATGCATAGTCTTTGAGCCTGGCAATCTTATGCAATACTTGTTACAACCTGTACGGGCCTGTCTCTCGTGATCTCTGATGGTCTTTTGGGGAGGTGCCCCCTACTCAGTTTCCAGTGAAGTTCAGATCAGGACAGGCAGAGCCCTATGTTGAGTGCCAATTAGGATGTGATCTGCAGCTCCGGCTTAAACAATTGCCAAGCAGGACGTAAAACACAAAAGCTTTCCATAAGCATTAAGCAACACCTGTTAAACACACCTGATAACATCTATTTGTATTCAAAAGAAGGGTTAAAGGTGAGAAAGATACCATCAGCTTCCATCTGCAACAGAGATCAAAGGAAGGAACAGAGAATTCTGCTTAAAGATTCAGAGAAGTCTGTTTGAACACATCACTGGAGCGTGTCCAGAGAAGGGCAACAAATCTGGTGAAGGGTCTGGAGCACAAGTCCTGTGAGGAGTGGCTGAGGCAGCTGGAGTTGTTTACCTTGGAGAAAAGAGGCTCAGTGGAGATCTTATCCCTCTCTACAACTGCCTGGAAGGTATTGAGGTGGGGAATTGGTCTCTTCTCCCATGTAACAAAAGAAGAAATTATCTCAGGCTGTACCAGGGGAGGTATAGTTTAGATATTAGGAAAAATTTCTTCATGAAAAGGGTTGTAAAGCATTGAAATAGTCTGCCCAGGGAAGTGGTGGAGGCACCATCCCTGGGAGCATCCAAAAAACCTGTGAATATGGCACTTGACGACATGGTTTAGTGCTGAACATGGTGCTGGTGCTGCTTTGATGGTTGGACCTGATGATCCTATCAGGCTTTTCCAATCTTAATGATTCTGATTCCATAGGGACAACCAGCCACACACATTCTTGTGCCTCAAAGCCTCAGTATGGTCATGGAAAGGACTCATGCTGAATCTTCTCCAAGGTCCTATTATCTTGTCACTTTTCCCCTTTATAATCTCACCATTACCTTGTACCAGCAATACTTATTCATGCACATGCCTCTCTAAAGTCAGTTGAATCTACACTGGCTATACTGGGCATAGTATTGTAACTCTCATCACTCTCTGAAAATTTATGCCCCGAAAAAAGACACCATTTAGAACTCCAATGACATGTTAGGCTAGAAATGCTCAGTAGCCTCAGCTAACGAGGTGTCACTGCAGTACTGACAGCTTTCTGAAGACACATGAGTTTTTTCTACCCTTCATCACAAAGTTGTGACTGCAGTGTTGCTGCCCAGCAAATTTTTGTGCATTCCATTAATTGATGTCTGCATCTGGTTATTTTTAAAGGGCTCACATGTTGACCAAAGAGGGAACTCCCAGCTTAGCTAGCTCCTTTCTAGAAGGTTGTAGGATACTTCTTCACTCACTTCGTGTCAGGCCACCGTGTTACAGAGATGAAACACCACTGCTGCCAAAAGATACAGTTCTGTCCTCTGAAAAGACCATACCTCCACTGCACTGATTTCCCACTGTAGTGTCAGGTCAAGAAATTAATCATGGTTACAAGGAAGGTAAAAAGGGAAAATAGATCTGTGTTTTTACTGCATATTTGCAAAACCCAGATACTTGGGAAAGGGCAGAGCAAAATGAGGCACAAGGTCAGGAGCAGCTGCAGAGCTGTTACCCTGTGAAACTGAGGCCACAGGATTAGATCCTCTTGCATACCCCTGCCTCATTCTTTTACCATTTTATTTGTGCTTCATTCTTTGCTTCTACCACAGCAACCTAATCTTCCCCCTTCCACTCTTACAGGAGACTGTGTTTTGGGGGGATGAAGCAGCAATAAACCCAAGCTGCAGTCTCTCACTTCATAAGCATCTTTGCAGTGCCCCCAAGATTACTCCATGAAAGCAAGCACAGCTTATTCTATATAGTTTCTTTTACAACTTTTAGATTTAAATTGACAATTGAATACAAAGTGAATTAAGTTTATTGCTACACAGTCCACAGAGAAGGGAAAATCTAGCAATTCCTCTTCAGTTTTACTACTGCATACAGAGACTTAGCATAATGCTTCTATCATGCTTTTGAACATGTGTTATTTTAAACAGAAAACTGAGACAAACATTCCAGAAGTATGTGAAAGGTAAACTAGGAAAAGAAGCATAAAGAAGACTCTTCTGCAAAGAATGAGGACAGGTCCCATTTGCAGAATCAGAAACTTCTTGCTTCAAAAATTAATCTGCATTTTAAAATGTTTAGCTACTATGGGCTTTGTCAGGAGCAGCACGTTCAAAAGCTGTGCTCCGAGAACCAATCTGCACAGAAGGCAGCTAATCACACACCATCTTCAGCCGTTCCCTTCAGAGGAACTTGCTTTTACAGGTGTCATAAATGACAAGCGAAAGACTATGCTCCCATCTGCCCTTCCCCAGTAAAATTAGTGAGGAGAAATAAGGTAACAGAATCCCTTTTACCAGCAAATCATGGAAACTCTCAGACCTGGGCTGAGTTACAGAGGAAACCAGTCTGCTGTTATGCATCATTTATTCTAAGTACTCCGAGGTCTGATCAGAAGAGATAAACACATTGAATAGTTTAGATTTAGAATTTAAAACAAATTCAGTGTGCATATATAAATTTTTATTTACTTAAGGCATCAAAATTGCCCTTTTTAATAAAAGGCTCATTTTTCCCTTTAACCAATACTTTGGTGAAAGAAACGTCACATTTAGTAGACTAATATTCACTGGTATACTTGTTCTGAACAAGTAGGTATAATTCAATGTACAAGATGAAAAAACGAACACAAAATATCCAAACATACTATTTCATGAATTACTCTGTAGAACAAAGAATTAAGGCTTGTTTGCATCACGATGATGATCAATCATGCATCATTTATTCCCACAAAAAATAAAATCCATTTCCAACTGGACCAGGAACAGCAGTAGTCTGGTATAATCCCCATATTGTTTACATTAAAAAAAAAACAATTTGGCATCTCAGAAATTAGATTGAAAAGTAGGAGAAAAGAGAGGAAAACAGAAAATGGTCCTTGCTTCGAAATCCTTTTTATGAATTTCCAGAGTCCATTTGCAGGAACCCTTCAATTTAAAGAGGAAAAACAGGACTTTCAAAGTTTGAACTAGGAACATTTTCAGAAAAACTAGAGTTATGGTTCCATTGATGATGAATGTGAAATATCTAGCAAAAATACATTGTTTGGAATAATGAATTCCATACTGAGATCCCCAAGTAAATGGCATATATACATTGAGCTGAGCCTGTTTAATAGGTCTGATTTATAAAAATGGTAAACCTGTATTATGCTTCAGCCTGATTTAAAATTCCTGAGTTTTAGATCACTGCTAAGTCACAGCAGACAAAACTCTGAACGACGTAATGAAAAGTTTTGCAAATCACTTTCAACATTAGCACACATTTTGTTCGTCAACTTTTAATCATCAATAAAAGTCAGTCTTCCAGGTCCTTCATTTTTCATCCACCGCCGGTATCGCTTCCATCGGGGATCCATGGCCATCTTCTTCTTTAACTCCTCCTCTTGTTCTCGTTTATAGACCTGATAGACAGAGAGAAGATTTTAGTAAGGCTGAAGAAACAGCTTAAGTCAGCCTGAAGTGGGATGTGTTTATACTTCAACCATTTGCCAGTTTATTTTTCTTACAGAAGACTGAATTGCCACATGGAAGCAGACCTTGGCTGACACAAAGTGTCAGAGCACCTGCAGCCCAAGAGCCGTAGTCCAGATATTTCCCTTTTTTGCTGAGAGCAGAACTACTCTCTTTAAGATGGTACTGCAAGCTCCAGAACTTTTATTCCAAAGAACTAGATGCTTATGCATTCAACAAAACCAAATACACAGTAAGCAACGGCTAATGCTCCAAAAGCTAAACTTGGAGTCCCTCCTAAGCACACATGCTGTTCAATGCAGCTGTTCAGTTCCTCACTGTAGTTCTCCCATTTCAAAGTCATTATCTAATAGAATACTGCTATGGAACTTTTTATTCCTAATTAAGGTTCTCAACAAAGTTAACATCTCTGTGTCAAGTATTTGCAATACCAACTGACAAATAATTACATTTCTGACAAGAAACAGTGTCATTGTAATGAAATCTACAATTACTAGCAAAGCCAATTGTCCTTAAAAAAAAAAAAGCAACAGCACCTACATTTTTATTCTGGAAGGCAGTTTATGTAGGTACAGCCAGCATCAATCTCAATACCATACATGTTTATGTCATCTCAGTGTCATCTGACTTCTCCTGACTCAGAAGGCAATTTAATTTAAAGTTCTCCTATGCATGAACAAGATTTAAAAATATTATAGATTGCACATAAATACACCACCGCAATATTCAGTGAAGAATCATTAGAAAACAGAAAAAAAATATTGTGTAGCTCCATGATGCAACCATGTATTGAATTCTTGATCTTTCCCATCCTGAAAGGGACACTAGAAAACTGAACAATATGCAAATAGACATCTCCAACGATGAAAGAACAGAGAAGCTTTTGGGGAGAAACACTTAGAGCATGTTTTTCAGCCTAGAAAATAATACATGACTACATTTCAAATAAGGATATGGTAGTGGCACACAAAAGCACCAGTAGCCCAAGGAAGAGAATAAAGCATGATTATTCTCCATTTTCAGTAATACTGGAATGAGAAGGAGTCTGTGTGGCTTCAAAAAAACCCCATCTTCTGCAAGTGTTGGTGAACTGCTGACCAGATGGCACAGCAGACACTGAAAGCTTTAATGCATTCCAGTGACTAGGTAAGTTTATTAATGAAAAACTTATTAAAGCAATTACCTACAAAGACACTATTTTCTCTCCAGGAAGTCCCAAATAAATATTACTATACAGGTGCAACTTTCATGTAGTCTTTACTGAAAATCAGCAGCTGGCCACAACAGGAAATGAGTGTGGGCTAAACAGACTTCACTTGTGGCAAATACAGCTCTTTTATATTCAGTGACCCAAACACGACTAGTTAAAACGTCATGGATCAGAAACCACAACATTTTTTCTCCATCCTATCTTACCTTTTCCATGTAACACCTGCTTTGACTAGTAGCATTGCTCAGTATTTGCACTTCCAGATTGTTTTCTAGCAAACCCCTACTAACTGAACACGCATATGCACCTGCCAGCTAGTCCTTTCCTTATATTAGCATCTATTTTACTATTTTCCTCTTCAGGTTTGTAGAGTAATACACCCCTGTCTTCTTTTGAAGAAGCATTCTCCTATCTTTGGTGTCCTGCCACCATCCCATTTCTTTTCCCAGCAGATGCAGGGCAGCAGCATCTCCTCTTCCCCTTAAGCAGGCCAAGTCTGTATTTTTTCTTTAGAAACCTCCCACCCAGATGCCCCACAGATGCACCTCTGCAGAACAATCGGGAGTATTTTTTCAATCTGCCATGCCCCAGCATCCCAAATCATTCTGGACTGCAAATTCCATGCTGTGGTTAATGTTCTTTTGCTGCTCTCACAGACACCTTAACAATTATATATTGACTATTTAGTAACTGGCTATCCACGGCAAGAATAGCGGTTGTGGCCTTTTTTACCATCCTCACTTGAACAGGTATTCAGCACTGCAGGAACAGTCCCTGATTCACTGACGGCCAAAGAACTATCAAGAAACAGTTAGGGAAAAACCCAAAACAATAACAACAACAGCAACAACTACAATAAAAAAAAAGCCCTGAGCTAGGAATTAAGCTTAGAAGACTGACGACATAGGAGTTTCAGACAATCAGGGTAATCCTTATTACAAATTATTGCTTTTCGGAGAATATAGCCTTCAACCTCCTGTAATAACCTTATGATAACACATTGTTATAAGAAAGCCTTTCATCAGATTAAACCGAATCTTGTACGCATGCACAGATGTCCTCTGACTGAGCAAATCCTTTCCTACAACCATGGGCATAGTCAGGAGCTGTTGTCTACCAGGCCATGTGTATAAGAAGTCAAAGGAAACACACCAAGTGATTGTCTCAGTTTTCAATTTGGAAAGCAACAGCTGAAATTGAAGCAATGCTTCGCACAGACCCATCCCAAGCACCTTCACAAGATGGCTGTTCTTACTCTGGGAGCAATGGGTAACTAACATTAGTTTTTCACCAGGGCTACCCACCTCGTAGTTTTCTCGTATCCACAGCTGCCGTTCAAGAAAGGTCTCTTTTTGATGATCTTCTAAGCTGTCAAACTGAGACTGAGACATTTTCATGTACCTTCGTATGATATACAGCTTCTCTTCCACACCATACTCTTGCCCTTTAATAGTGAAACAATAAATCCACCAACAGTACCAAACCACATATTTGCACAAATAAAAAGGAGCAAGAAGGATCTGAAACAGAAGGATATCATATATCTTGGGCTTCTGATAACCACCCTTTATATCTATTTTATTTTTAATAATGTCTTTGATAATTTCTTCCTCTTCTTCACGAATTTCTTCTTTAGATCGCCTGTTCTTTCCTTTTTCTTTAGTCTTGTTGAGTAAACCTTGTTGTCTAGCAATCTCAGTGGCTTGTATACGGTATTTTGGTACAGTAGCTAAGTAGTTGATAGCTTCATTGTAACTACTCCACCAGCTGAAGAACTGTAATTTAAGAACAGTAAAAGTAAAAAACTTATTTTTATACAGACACATTCCTATCTAGAGGTTTGCCAGGAAAAAAAAAAAAGACATAATGCTGTCGCACACCTTTAACCACAGTTACATCATAATAAGGGTAAAAACTGAGGGTAACAGTTCTACTGTGGTATTACAGAAGCTGTAATCATTCCTCTGAACTTAGTAAAGCACCTGGAAAATAGATGTAAAGAAGCGTATCTCACAGCAATTTACAGTGACAAGCAAGGACAAGCAGGCACTATTCTGAATGGTTTTGTTTATGAGAAGATCGTCAACTTCTGAAGGTTAATGCCAGGCTGTGCCAGCCATTCTCAGAAGCCCCACTCCTTGGAGTTATAAATAAAGTAGCCAATATATGAACATCTAATTATACAATTGTTACCCGCTGTTCATTAAACACGGATTAAGTATGTGATGATCTCATTTGCCTGACAGGATTCACTTTGCAAGATTCAACATCCCTCTCTGATCTCCAACTGCCCTCTGAATTTCAATGGGGGTGAAAAAGAACCCAAACAAGAAACCACGAATATACTGCCTGGGTGAACACAGAATCATAGAATATCCTGAGAATATCCTGAGGTGGAAAGAACCCACAAGGATCGTCAAGTCCAGCTCCTGGCCCTGCACAGCACAACCCCAAGAATGATTCCTTCTGAAGACAGGAGGAGCACAATGACTGTCATGGTCAGCTCAGAACTGATGTTGTTCCCATCTAGTGCCTTGTAAATGACATGAGATGAGGCACGGAAATCATGGAAGAAACCAGACAGGCACCTTAGGAAAGGCCAAGAAGCAGAAACAACAAAAAGCGAGACAGGCAAACCAGTTTACAGAGATGCTTACAGTGAATTTGCAATCATCTGGCAGGTGAACTGCAGGAAAGTGTCTCCACTTACAGTCAAATGAAGAAATAAGATATGAAATGAAACTTTTGCCATTGGAACAAAATCTGAGAAATTAGGTATTTGGTTGCATGTCCCATTAGAACTTATTATTCCAAGCTCTCAAATTCTGATCAATGTGTTTTGTTATTTCAGCTTCCAATATCTCACTAATCGTGAGATACCTACACCATGGACTAAGCTGTATCTTTATACCTCAAACTTCTTGGCTATTATTAATGATGTTTGAGCCAGTAATCTAACAGATCCCAAAGAAAAGTCATGCATCTTCCTACTCTTAAATATGTGTCAGCAACAGCACAAATTTTCTCATCTAAGACACAGGCTGCTTTCTTGACCTTGGATCTACCACCTTCAGAGTAAACTCTGCTGAAGAGAATTTGCTTCTCTCCTGACTTCATCTTTGTGGTGTTTCAAGATTCAAAGGTGTAAGATTCAAATCTTAGTAAACTCCTGATCATCTATGTGAATTGAATCTTGAATTTAATTTGCAATTAGTCTGTTTTTTAAAAAATGACTTATGCACCTTGACAAACCGACATCCATTATTTGGAGCACTAGTCCTGCCTGTGCTCAAGAACAGGCTATTCTGAGCCTGCCAGGAAGAACTACGTAACTTCTTCAGAAAAGCTACACTTGACTCAATGAAATTAAAAGAAAATAATCTCTACTTTTGTTCAAGGTACCAAAGGCAGTTAAAAATCCGCTCGGTACATTCTGACTTCAGGATCGTTACGGACACCATGCAGAACTTCACCACAGCAGAGAGGAACAGACCCTCACTTTTTATTAAATGGCACATTATGACAACTGTCACTACACCTCTCTCTTCAGAAACTCAGAGAATGATGTAAACATGAAATTTTACCTGAAACACAGAGATGGCACACACGGTAACTAGGATCACTATTCTGACATCCACTTTAGGAGCCAATCTCCTGCTGTAGTAGTGGTAATAATGCCTGTAATACTCTTCAGGATGATCCAGCATGTAGTCATAATCTTTACGTGTTTCTTCATCCTGCAGGATGAGATGAAAAACACATCCAGGTTCAGATTCCTGTTTTCACTTACTCTGTTATAGCTTTGTTTTACACCGCATTAATGACCATGCTGCTGTAAAACTGGCAATAGATCAAGTGAGTATGAAGCGCAGAGGAAGATCTTTGGTCTTTTTCTCATATTCTCAATTATTTTGTTCTCAGACTTATCTGACCATTTAAGTAGGACATATGTAGTCTTAAACTGAACAAGCAGGCACTGTGTGAAAGACATTTAAAACTGGAAAATAGACAAGCAGTGGAAATCCACGCAATAAGTATTTTTAACTTCAGAAAGAGAAGTCCAGATGGACTGGAGTTAATAAATATTGCTCTGGAAAAGATTTTCAGATGAAGAACCTATTACAAGATTGTTTTACAAAACTTTTAAGAATTAGTTTACAGGGCTGTGGAATCTGTCCAATGGAAGGCCATTTCAAAACCTCATTGTTCTCATTTTCTCTGTGTTTTTCTTCATTCTCCCTCATATAATTTTGGGATAGGAAATTTAATTTTGACAGACTCAACTGCATTCCATTCAACACTCCTCTTCCAAAAGAAAAAAAAAAAACAACACCAAACGACTTCCCTTTTTTAATTCCTTGTAGTCTTAAAACACTTACAGGTCTCTTTCTTCTATTCCGGGGCTCCATCTTTGCCAAATCACACACGTTTTGCCCTGATAAGCCTTCCCTTGCAGATCCCATATGCTACCCGGGTCACTGCTACTTTTAAAGGTATGCCTCTAAGATAAAGACCAGCCGGCTCGTTAAAAATAAATAAAATATTTTCGAAAGAACGAATCCTAAACACAAAGGGATTTCCAAGGGAACTCCATCCTCCTCCCCGCACTCCCGGACTGGCTACCGAAGGAGGTTTTTCGTGGTGTTTTTCCTCCCCTCCCTGACTGCTTACCGGAGCGGCTCCGGCCGCGGCGGCGGTCCCGCTCTCTCACCTTGAGGGTCTCGTAGGCGGTGGCGATGAGCAGGAACTTCTCGTGTGCCGCCTGCGCGCCGCCGGCCCCGCCGCCTGCGGGCTCCCCGCGGTACCGGTCGGGGTGGTACTGCCGGGCCAGCTGCCGGTAGGCGCGGGCGATCTCCGCCTTGCTGGCCTGCCGGCTGACGCCCAGCACCTCGTAGCAGACGCGGCGGCCGCAGTAGAGCCCGTCGGTGAGGCCCCGCGCCGGCCGCGGCAGCAGCGCGGCGCACAGGCACAGGCACAGCACCCACGGCCCGCCCGGGCCCCGCAACGCCGCCATTTCGCCGCCGCCGGGCCCGGGCCGCGCTCCGCGCCGTGCGCGCGGCCGGGGGCGGGGCCAGCGCGGGGCCAGGCGGGGTCGCGACAAGAGGCGGGTCGCGACAGAGCCCGCGCTTTAAGGGGGTCGGTAGGACGGAGTTGCGCTCTTCTCGGCGGTGCCGAGCAATAGGACGAGTCCTTTTCCCCTGATTTCTCACAGGCTGCGCCTTCTCGTTCTTTCAACCGGCGGTGTGCCCTTGCGGCCGGGAGCGCCCGCGGAAGCCTGGGATGCACTAGGAAGAGCGCTGCCAGCAGGTCGAGGGACGTGATCCTGCACCTCAGGCCCAGTGAGGCCGCATCTGGACTGCTGTGTTCACTTCTGGTCTCCACAGCTCAAAAAGGACATGGAGCTACTGCAGAGGGTCCAGCAGAGGCCACAAAGATGAGGAGGGGTCTGGAGAATCTCCCTCATGAGGGGAGACTGTGGGAGCTGGACCTATTTAGTCTAGAGAAGCCTGAAAGGGGACCTTAATGCATATAATATCTCAAAGGTGGGTGCCTAGAGGAAGGTGTCAGAATCTTTTTCAGTGGTGCTCAGTGACAAGACAAGGAGTAGTGGCCATAAACTAAAACACAAGAAGTTCCACCTCAGCACGAGGAAGAACTTTACAATGAGGGTGGCAGAGCACAGGAATAGGCTGCCCATGGAGGTCCTGGAGTCTCCCTCTGTGGAGATACTGGAAACCCACCTGGACATGTTCCTGCTGATAGGTGTCCCTGCCTTGGCAGGGGGGTTGGACTAGTTGTTCTCCAGAAGTCCCTTCCAACCCTAATGATTCTGTGATTCTTCCAGGGAAAAACCTTTTAAAATAATGCCTGAGCCCATGCCTGGTTTGGGCTTGCTTCTGGCAGAGCTCAGAGTTTGGCCGCCTGTCATGTGGGATCCGTCCCCAAAGTGGGAACTGCCGTGTGCGCTCCCAGCCCCCCTCACTACACAGACCCACAGGGAGCACTCCTGCTGCTGCTACCTGAAGACACAGCTGAGAGAGGACCTCACTAATGCCTGTAAGTATCTGAAGGGAGAGTGTCAGGAGGGTGGAGCCAGGCTCTTCTTGGTGGTGCCAAGCAATAGGACAATGGGCAGAAAGCGATGCACGGTAGAGTTCCACCTGAACATGAGGAAGAACTTCCTTACTGTGCAAGTGACCATGCACTGGAACAGATTGCCCAGAGAGATTGTGGAGTCTCCCTCATGGAGGACATTCAAGAACCGTCTGGATGCAATCCTGTGCGATGTGCTCTAGGATAATCTTGCTTGAGCAGGGAGGTTGGACCAGATGTCCTTCAATGGTCCCCTCCAACCTGACCCTGTGATTCTGTGTGATTCTGCATGCACAGCTCCCCAGGATGGTGGCTGCAACAGCAGGCCTGTGATCTCCTCTACCTGAAGACTTTTCCTGGAAAGGAGGACTACATGTCTGCTCCAGTGTAACCAGCAGGAACATTACCTCAGTGTTAGACCTTTCCCAGGAAAGCCAGAAATATGCCTGACGCTGTAAATATCCACCACAAAAATGCTCAGCTCATCAGAGAGCATGTGCTGTTCTTACACTAGAAATGAGTGTGCGTCCCATGTGCCTGGCATTCTCTGCCTGTCTCCTTTCTGCATTAATAAATGCTTATTATTTCACTGAGAGGTGGATGGGTCACAAATCTGTTTCCTCAAAAAAAAAAAAAAAGCTACCTCTTTGCAGCTCACTAGAGCCCAGCCTCTCAGTGCTCTGGGTTGGCAGTCAACTCCTCAGGCAAATTATGGTAGGTTGACCTGGACTGGACACCAGATGCCCACCAAACTGTTCTATCACTCCTCCTTCTCAGCTGGACAGGGGAGAAAAAATAAGATGGAAAACAACTAAGTGGCTGAGAAAAGGCGGTTTACTAAAGCAAAAGTTTGTGCACGCACTAGCAAAGAGAAAAAAAAAATTATAAATTATTCTCTACTTCCCATCAGCAAGTGATGTCTGGCCACTTCCTGGGAAGTGGGGCTTCAGTGTAGATGTTGCTCTGGAAGGCAAGTGTAAATAATGAATGCTCTTCCTTCCTCCTCCTTTTCTTAACTTTTGTATCTGAGCTGACAGCATAGGGTCTGGAATATCACTTTAGTTCGTTTTGGTTTGCTGGCCTAGTTGTGTCCACTCCCAGAATCTTGCCCACCCCCAGCCTACTGATGGAGGGTGGAACGTTGGAGAAAGCAGTGCTGATGCTGTGCCAGTGCTGCTCAGCCGTAGCCAAAACACTGGTGTGCTGTCAACATCTTTCTAGCTACCAATGGAAAGCACAGAACTGTGAGGGCTGGTGTGGGGAAACGAACTCCATCTCAGTCAGACCCAATACACTAATGAAGCTGTGACACTGTCACTTAGACTCACTTCTGCCCTGGGACTGGCCCTGGAGCTGTAGGGAGAGGTCATCAGCTGCTCAGTCGCAGCAGTAAGGAGGCTGGGGACACCTTGTCTGCTGTGCCCCAGGGGCGCCTCTTGGTTGCCAAGATGATTCTTACGGAGACCACACGTGGCATCGCAACGCTTGAGAGAAAGACGCTATATGTTGGTCGCACCTCTCTCTCTTGTGGTCTGAGCAAGCCGAGAACGGCAAGAGAGGAATTTTTCGGAGCAGCTTTATCCCTCCAGTATTCCAGGCTTTGGAATACAGCGGCTTGGCAGCAACGCTGGAGTCGGTGCTGGGCGGGGCCGTGCCAGTCCCTCAGTGGGTCTGTGCCCGGCCGTGGGCGGGGCCATGTCGGACAGTGGGCGGGGCTCGCCGCCTGCCGCCGCACTCACGGCCGCGCGGGGGCGCCCCGCGCCGCTCCCGGTGCCGTCCGAGCGCCGCCGGGCCCCGCCGGAGCCGCCATGGAGGTCAGCGCGGACTCCGGTCAGTGCTGCCCCCGCAAACCTCCTCCTCGGGGCCCGCCGGGCGGGGCGGCGGCGGCGGGGCCAGGGCGTGTGCGCGGCGGGGGCGGGCGGCGGGAACGGCAGGTCTCTCTCTAAATATAAACCGGCGGTGACTGAAGGGCGGGCTTTGCCGCTGTCGAGGGCAGCCGCAGGGAGGAGGAGGAGGAGAAAGAGGAGGAGGAGGAGGAGGAGGAGGAGGAGGGAGGCGGCCGCCGGCCCGGTGCCGGTGCCGGAGCGAGGTGGGAGGTGCGGAGCGTCTCTCGCCGCCTCCCCTCCCTCCCCAGCCGGCAACATGGCCGCGGCCGCCCAGGACGAGCTCAGTAAGTGGCCGAACGCCGGGACTGGCAGAGGAGGCGGGCGGGCGGGCCGGGGTCTCCCCGCAGCGGATCCGCTCTGCGGCGGGGCCCGACCCGCTACCCGACCGGGCGGTGACGGCAGCGGGGCCGGGCCGGCCTTGGGCGGCCATCTCGGGAAGCGGAAACCGAGAGCAGCGGCGCTTCCCGCATCCTGGCCCCTCGGCGGGCGGCGCGGCTGTACCCTCCGCCGCCGGCTGCGTGACCTTGCGAGGAGGGAGCCCAGGGGCGGCGGGACCCGCGGGCACAGGGAGCTGCCTCAGCCCGCCGCCCCTGAGCGGGCATAAGTGGCAGCGCCTCTGCCCGCCAGAGCTCTCGCCCCGTGTTGTTGGACCGCCGTGTTTGAAACACAGAACCGGCGCGAAGACACCGCGGGCAGGCACATCCAGGGGCGGGCCCCAGCCCGAGGTGCGGTGCCGGGCGGGGGATGCGGGAGCGCATCGCCTCCGTGCGGCTCTCGCCACATGACCTGAGGTGTCGCAGCCGCCGGCGTTCGGGGCGGGGGGAGCTCGGCCCTGTGTTCTTGTCACCTCCAAGCCCCTCTCTCAGAGACTCCGGGGCAGCACGCGGTCAGCTGCTCTTTGGAGAAGCCTATGCAACTTTTAAAAAAGCGGTTTTTCTTTCCTTGCCTTTCCTGTCATGGCATAGAGCTGATTCTTAGCCGTGAAGAATTAATAGCGAGATAACGTATGACTCAGCCAAATGAGAGGGCCTTTGGTTGCCCTGAAATAGTACTTGGCAGTCACCAGGGAGGAAGGGCAGAAGAAATACTTCGAGCATATTTGTACTATTGGCTTTCAGTACTAAGGCATTTCTGTGTGATGTGTCTTCAGGGTTTTTTTTTGTTGTGAGCTGCTGTGTAGACAAGCTTTTAGTTCTGCTCTTTGTTAGATGTTCCTGGAATTAGGCTAAGTGGAACAGGCATATGATAATGGACGTCCTTTATGTAGCCAGATCCCATGGTGAAGTAAGAAGGATCTTGATCCTGCACTGATCCTTGAACTGGAGGACCCAGATGCCATGCTATTTATTCCACTGACAACTGAGGCAAATTGTAATAATGGCAGTGAAAGCTTTCACTGCTGCTGTCATCCAAGAGATTCTATTGTCAGCTTTACAATACTAAAGCGATTCCCTTTGGTGAAACCAGTTAGCCTGAGATCTTTTGCTTGTAACTCCTTGGCATTTATCTGTGTGTAATCTAGCTTCCCAGCCTCCAAATATGATCTTGCAAAAAATTAGTCTTCAGCCATGTGCCTGTTGCTACACAGCCCTTTCCGTTAAACTGTGCTAAAAGGACAAATGTCCCTAAATTGAGATTCACATTAATAATTACATGTTGTCATTCAGGTTACTTGACCACTGCATCCTTCAAAATTGAGAGGGTTTTATTGGTTTGGTTAGTAATCTTTTTAATTTGTTTGGGGAGAGGAATATCTTTTGGGATTTTTTGTTTGGTTAGTTGGTTGGTTTGTTTTGTTTTGTTTTGTTTTTTTTTTTTCCCGGTGCCTCATCTGTCACTGAATAGAAAGTACCATAGTCTTAAAAAATAATTAAAGCTAATGAAAAAAAGAGTAACTTTATGTAGAGAAAGAGGGGGAAACTTAAGGTTCTCTATGGGCTTGCTGTCTTTTGATATGTTCAAATAGTTAAATTTCAGGATATTTGGAAAGAAATTCTTTCCTTTTTAGGATGATAGTAGTCCCAAAATAACAAGAGTAATTACTATTAGTTTTAGATTG